ATGCTGCATTTTACACTTGAGGAGACTAAGGCATCTAGATCCTAAGTAACCTGCCTGTGGTCATCCAACTAGTAAGAAATAGACCTGAGATTTGAACCTGGGCATTCTTGTTTCCTCACCTGTGATTCCAACCACTGAATTGTACTGCCCCTGTGCATAGTAAGTATGAGCACAGGTCCCATTCTCTCTGGTCCCATTCTCCCTCTGTATCCTCCTGTCTCTCCACTCTTACCATTGTACCCTGTGTTTCACCCTTATTCGACTTCCTAGAGTTCTTTGAACAGCACGCTCTGCTTTTTCTTGCCTTTGTGTCTTTACGCCTGCTTTTTTGTCTTTCTGGAAAACTTTTCTACCTCTGTCCTCTAAGATACCAGCCTCTTCCTTTCTCCCCAAGCTAAACTTGTTCTGTCTTCTTTATCTAACTTGCATAAATGGATTTAAAGGATGGCATCTTTTACCATTCTTGTCAGATAGCCCCTTTGGAAACTCTTCTCTGTTCTCCCAGGCATGGGTTAGGTTTCTATCCTCGGTGCTCCCCAAATATTCTACACTTATATCTACATTAGCTCTTAACATACTGAATCATAACTGATAGTTTAAGTATTAGACTGAGCTTGAGACTAGGGTCTTAACTTAGTCTCTCATCCCAGCAACATAGCCTAGTCACCTGTGTGGTGAATGAATGAATGCTCAGTGGGAGTTTAGAAGTATAAGCCAAAATGCAGCCAAACTGAAAGCCCGTATTTGAGGAGCTATAAAATGATCTTGTTATTTTGGAGCTACCTAACCATGAGGGGACTTCTCTCTCTGACTCTCTCAAGGATAAGTTACCACTTCATTAAATTACTTGTGAAGAGGTAGGTTTAGTAATTGAGGACCCTGAACTAGTCTTTACTCTTATATGAGAGAATACTTTGTTTCTTTGAGTTTTTTTTTTTTTTTTTTTTTTGCGGTACGCGGGCCTCTCATCGTTGCGGCCTCCCCCGTCGCGGAGCACAGGCTCCGGATGCGCAGGCTTAGCGGCCATGGCTCATGGGCCCAGCCGCTCCGCGGCATGTGGGATCTTCCCGGACCAGGGCACGAACTCGCGTCCTGTGCGTCGGCTGGCGGACTCCCAACCACTGCGCCACCAGGGAAGCCCTTTGAGTTTTGATTGGAAGCCTCCCCCTTCCCCACCTTACTGTGCTGTCCCAGGCCATTAGTCATTAGGTGTTCCCAAACTTTTCTCTTGAGTGGACCCCAAGAAATCTCTTGTGGGCACACAGGAACCTAAGACCTCTCTGGTCTCTGATGTCATCAGTTTGTGTTTAAATTTCTATTTGGAAGTCTAAAAAGAACTTCAGTATACCCAAAATCTTCATCCATTTCCCCTACATGTTCCCTGTCTGATCATAATCTGGAAATTTGGGGGTCATCGTTGAACCGTTTATTGTTTTGTCACCAAGTCTGGTCCACTTTGACTACTCCATGTCTCTTAAATGCAGCCGCTTTCCCAACATCTTTCCTGTTAACCACTGCAGACCATGCTGTCATCATGTCTTGCCTGTAATGCTGCAATAACTTATCTCCCTCTACCTACTCTTGGTCTTCTCTAATCTGTTCTTGACCAAACAGTAGGAATGATCTTTTTATATCTCAAAACTGATTATTTATTTACAGAGTGGGGAGATGTGGTCATAAAAGGGCAACATGAGATCTTTGCAGTGATGAAACTGTTCTGTATCTTGTATCCATGCTGATACTCTGATTGTGGTAGCGTACTGCAGTTTTGAAAGATATTACCATTGCGGGGTGGTGGGGACAGGATAAAAGGTACACAGGATTTGTCTGTATTATTTCTTACAACTGCATGTGATGTTACAATTATCTCAATAACATTTCAGTAAAAAAAATTATCCTATTTAAAACTCTTCAGTGCTTTCCTACTCCTTTTGGGATAAAGACTGAAGTCCTTAGTATGGTCTTCTGTGACTTGCATCATCTGGCTTACCATCTCCAGCCTTTGTTTATTTGATACCAGTTTCCTACTGTGCTCCAAACACACTGACCTTTCACTGTCTTTAACATACCAGTTTCTTCACTTACAGCCTTCCTGTTTGCTTCCATCATCCAAAATATTATTACTTACCTTCCTTTGGTTAATTCCTCCTCATTCTTTATATGTCAGCTTCATTTATACTTCTTTTTTTTTTTTTTTAAAGAATCATTTGGGAAACTTTCTGTTTTTTTAATAAAACCCTATTTATTTATTTATTTATTTTTGGCCACTCCTCATGGCATGTGGCATCTTAGTTCCCACGCCCCCTGCATTGGAAGGGTGGTGTCTTAACCATTGGACTGCCCAGGAAGTCCCCATTTTTACTTCTTAAAGAGAAGCCTTTCCTCATTCTCCAGACTAAGTCAGATTTCTTCTGTTAGGAGCTCATAAAATACCCAGTATTCTTCCTTTATACCAATCATCACAATTTGTATACATTCGTTTATCTGTGTGGTACTTTAATTCGTATCTGTCTCTTCCACTCAGCTCCATGGGGGCAGGGTCTGTGTTTTTATCCCCAGCATTCAGTACAGTGAGTAATGGAAACATGTAAGACATGAAAGACACTGTGTTTTTCTGTCAGCCCTTGTTCTCTTACTGGCATCAAAAAAGCACCTTAGATACCTAGGCCAGGAGAATAGGTTCCAATCCAGATATCTAGCTTATGCTCTCTTCCCAGATCATGAGTTTGAGTTTCTCTTGGATTGCCTAAAAATTAAACCTCTTTCAGGTTACAGAGGCATTTATTAGAGGAGGGATAGGATATGATTGAGCAAGATGAGTGTGCTTGATCCTGATGGCTGAGGCTACCGAAGAGCCATCTCAGACCCCTGGCCTGCTTACCTCTAGGAGATGGCCAGCCTTGAATTTGTTGGGTGTGCAGAGTTTATCTGAAGCTGTAACTCATTGACCTTCCGAAGGTCATGGCTCTTTTCATTGGCTTGGCAGAGCTTTATGTTGTCACATTGAATATTGGCCTACCCAGAGGTCCCAGCTGCATGAGTGTGGGTGTACATATGATTTGGTGACTGAGAACACTCGCGTTCTCAGTTGGACAGTGGAATCCATGCCAGCTAGTCTAAATAGAAAGAGGTATTGGTTAGCATAAAGAATTTGTACATACAGAATTTTTGGAAGGACCAGACAGTTAAGCTTGGATCTGACATGCAGAAGCAATGCAACCAGGAGAAATGCTCAACGACACCAAAGGACTGTTTGAGCAGAAATGCCACAGCTGCTGCTGCTTGCCACAAAGTTGGAGATCAGACAGCAGAACCTCTGGAACTTCTGCTAAGTACCTGCAGAAAAACCATATGACTGTATTTGACATGAGAGCTTCCAAATTACAGTGAGTCACTTAGGGCTTCCAAGTCTGCACAGGCGTGCCTGCACAAGTGTTCTGCTGTATCACATGTGGAACTGTAGCTGCAAAGGAGTCCAAGAAATACAATCCTTAGCTTTCCAGTCTCTAGGGCACAAGAAAGCACACTAGAATGAGGTGTTGTGTGAGCTAGTCTGTGTTGTCTGCCATAGCAAATTAAAGGCTGACCATTATAGACAGACCTCATTGACCAGTGAATGTTTGTTTTGAATCTCGTGCAAATGGTTAAACTTGGTTTACTACCTATTAGGAACTTAACATGAGAACCTGTAACGTGAAACAGGGGAGTGATGATCTTTTAGATTTTCAAGTGGTGGATTTCGCCTGTGCTGAATTATGTACTTTATAGATAGTCGGTTGACCCTTGAACCATGTCAGGGTTAGGGACACTGACTCCCCCATGCAGTCAAAAATCTGTGAGCTCCTGTCTCTGCCTCAGAAACAAAGGAATTGATAAATGACTCACCCAAGGGCAGGAAGCTGAAACAGTTTGGGTAGAATCAGAATTCAACTCCTAGTTCTTTTTTTTTTTTTTTTTTTTTTTGCAGTACGCGGGCCTCTCACTGTTGTGGCCTCTCCCGTTGCGGAGCACAGGCTCCGGACGCGCAGGCCCAGTGGCCATGGCTCACGGGCCCAGCCGCTCTGCGGCATGTGGGATCCTCCCAGACTGGGGCACGAACCCGTGTCCCCTGCGTCAGCAGGCGGACTCTCAACCACTGCGCCACCAGGGAAGCCCAAATCCTAGTTCTTTTGATTCCACATGTTGTGATCTCTCATCGAACAAAAACTTTTCCCCACACCTAGTTAATTTAAAGATCTGTAAAATAAAAATACAGATACTATATTTATTGAAAAAAATCTGTGTATAAGTGGACCTGCACGGTTCAAACCCGTGTTGGTCAAGGATCAACTGTATATGGTTTTGCATGATACCCATACATTTGCATATTCACTCATGGAATGTTGTCATTGAGAGCAAGTATGGGCTGTTCCATGCTGTGCTAGGAGCTAGTAATACAAAGGAAAGTAAGTCTGCATTCAAGAAGCTCACAGACTTGGTGTGGCAGTGTATTTCAACAGAGATGTGCAGTAAAATTAACCTGTGAAGCAAAAAAAATATAAGCGTGGCACTCCACGTTTATAGATCTACTATCTGCCACGTGCACCAGCATCAGGTTCCCAAATGAGAGAGATACACAGAGAGTCCAGGAACCTGCATTTTTAGCAGACTTTCCTGTTGCTTTTCTTTTTTCTCTTTATTGGAGTATAGTTGATTTACAGTGTTGCATTAGTTTCAGGTGTACAGCAAAGTGAACGAGTTATACATACATCCACTCTTCTTTAGATTCTTTTCCCATATAGGTCATTACAGAGTATTGAGTAGAGATCCCTGTGCTGTACAGTAGCCTGTTGATTCTGAAGCGTTCTCCCTTGGCGAAGAACCACTGGTCTGGTGGGTCAGTAATAACCCTTTTGTTTTATTGCTGTTGAAAACTTAGGAGTATGTTTCAGTTTGCAGGTTATTTCCCATTTTGTCCATTGCCTTTAAAAAGTTTAAAAAAATGCATGCTTGTTTTACAGGAGCAGAGTTACCAGGGCAAGTTATCTCCATGGCAGCTTCTACTCTAGCAACCTTGGCCATCTCCATCACAGGGTATGAATCGAGCACTGAGGACCAGCCCTCTACCCAGCCTGCAGGTGACTGACGTTATGAAGGAGTGCCTTCAGAATATTCCGGAAAATGAAATATATTTAGAATATAAAATTAAGAAAGACACTAGCACCACAAAATGCTACTTGCTGGTCCTTCATTCGTCTCTCTGGTTCCTATTTTTACACTTTTTTCCTTCTCATCTTTGTTCTCATATATCACTTTTTTCACACATTTAATTATTTATCTTCTCAGGTTTCTTATCTTGATTCTTCATTCTTTCCTTTTTTTTAAAAGTGCTTTTCTTATTTTTCTTTTGTTATTCTCTCTCACTTTCATGTTATTTTTCTTTTCTTAGTGTCCTATTTACCTTTGTCCATATTTTCTCTTACTTAGTCCTTTTATTTTCCATTTCTTCTGCAACTGTCAGTTCTTCTCCATTGTTCTACTTTGCTCTGACTCTTTATGTTGCTTTTGTTGTTGTTGTTGCCTTTCTCCATCTCTTTCTTTTGTTCTTTATTTTCCGTCTTCCAGTCATTCATTTCTCTGGCATTTCTTGCTTTTATTCTCAAAGTTTGCTTTGCATGCCTCATGCTGTTAGTATATTGACTGTTTCCCTTAAAACAGAGCCCTCTGGTTGTTCTGCATGCAAAGCTCCTATAAGATCCAGCTGATAGGTTTATACCAGATTTAAAGTCACACTGTACTTGCACAGGATTCAGGAATGTAAAAGGCCTTCCCTGTCTGTGCCAAGAGGTCCATTAGTGCCAGAGGTTTGGGAGCTAAGGAATGTTTTTCATGAGCTATTTTTGAAGAATGGACTTCAGAGAAGTCTTAAAAGAAGGGATCGGCTAAGAAAAAGGCATTTGGGGTAGTAGGAAAATGTTATTTTTCTTGCACATCGAATCATGTTTTCAGCGTGGAAAGGGGATGATGTTTTAGTTATGGACTTACTGCTCTTCTAAATATCTGCCACATCCACCAACGTGAAGTTTCCAAATTAGGAAGGTATTCAGAGAGTAGGGTCAAACAGAAGCATATTATAACTAGCTTGCACTTTAGCCCCAAACCTCAGGGTAGAATGTTTGTTCTGGTGAGGTGGGCTGACTTACCATGGTGCTAGTTATATCAGTAGTAAAAATGTACTCACAACTAATCATTTAACATTAAAAAGAAACACTAAGGAAATTATGACGTAACGTTCAGAAGGTTACTGTTTGGTTACTTATGAAAATTATGAAATAACAGGGAAGGCATTGTTAGAACAAATATTTAGTGAGTACGTTCCATATGTCAGTTACTATTGTGTGTGCTAGGAAATCAGTGGAGGGGAGCGCAAGATAGACAAGGTCTTAGCTCTCCTGGAGCTGACATTCAACTGAAGGGAGAAAGTGGGAAAGGTCATAAGTGGAACATGATACAACTATGTAAAATATGTAAAGACAATGGGGCAAATAGGGCGTTGAGATTAGGAGTGTTCATGGTTTTTTTTTACCTAGACTTTAAGAAATATGGTATACTTTTATCATTAACTTTTTTTATGGAAGGCAAAATGCAGGTTTTAGGATCTTATGCATTTCCATCATCATGGTATATTCTGAGTAATAGTGAAATGTAATAGTAGTCACGTTGTTAGAAAACAGTGCCTCGTGAAATAATTGAGTGATATCCTGTATTTGAAAATTCCTCATCCCCAGCAGTCTGTCATTTTTCATATCTTATTTTAAGAGAAAGATATGCTGCAAATTCCTGGCTGGTTCTTGTAAGAGCAGTTGGATCCATTTAGGTAAAATGACGCTGAAAAGCCATATTGTTTCAGAAATATATATAAATACATCTACTGTAAAGTTAAAAGAGGAGGAATTTTTTTGTTTGTTTTTTTGCGGTGCGCGGACTTTTCACTGCCGTGGCCTCTCCCGCTGCTGAGCATAGGCTCTGGACGCACAGGCTCCGCGGCCATGGCCCACGGGCCCAGCCGCTTCGCGGCATGTGGGATCCTTCTGGACCGGGGCAGGAACCCGCGTCCCCTGCATTGGCAGGCGGATCCCCAACCACTGTGCCACCAGGGAAGCCCAGGAGGAATTTTTAAATAAAGAATTCTGTATGTTAATATTTGTTGCTTTATATGGTTTGGGTAATTTTGATGGGCTAATTATAATTCTCAGTTACTTTGTCATGTGTTTTTCTTCAGTTTTTTTGTCTAAATGATATACATAAAAATATAAATGATATATATGTCATAAAAAAACTTGAACAGGGCTTCCCTTGTGGCGCACTGGTTGAGAGTCCGCCTGCCGATGCAGGGCACACGGGTTCGTGCCCCGGTCCGGGAAGATCCCACATGCCGCGGCGCGGCTGGGCCCATGAGCCATGGCCGCTGAGCCTGCGCGTCCAGAGCCTGTGCTCCGCAACAGGAGAGGCCACAACAGTGAGAGGCCTGCGTACCACAAAAAAACAACAACAAAAAAAAAAACCTTGAACAATGTTAAGTATATGAAGTAAAAAGTAAAACATTTCTCATACTCAACCCTACTCCCCCAAAAACTTAATTTCCTTAGATGTAAACACAGCATTAATTCTCCACACCTTTTTCATTGCATATGCAAGCATACATCCAAGTCTTTTTTTCTTTTTTAACCCAATGTGATCATACTGTCAGAATACATTTTGAAAGCTTAAACTAGGATAGCCTAGCAATTGCTCTGTATTACTGTTTATTAATGTTATTATTTATAACTTATAAATAAATAATTTATTTTTAATATGTGGGGGATTTTTTTTTTTCTCTCCCTCTTCAGGGACAGAAACCATGGACAGAGGAGAACCCCCTCCAACACGGTCCTCATCTTCTTCACCCTCCTCCCCTTCACCCACCTTGGGCAGACAAAGGCCTGAAGTTGGAACATTTCTTAGAAAGAAGAAGACTAGCGATATCTACTTTGTGTCTCTCCTTTGGGCCATTGTTGGAGTCCAGATCTGGTTGAACCTGTGGATTGTACAGTTGCTGCCAGTGCCTATTGCAGGTAATTGGTTAATTATGATCTTGTCTTGCCTTGGAAGACTTTTTTCTTTAACTTTTGGATTTTTATGTTTGAGATAACTTTACTCTTTTTTTTTTTTTTTTTTTTTTTTTTTTTTTTGTGGTACGCGGGCCTCTCACTGTTGTGGCCTCTCCCGTTGCGGAGCACAGGCTCCGGACGCGCAGGCTCAGCGGCCATGGCTCACGGGATTACCGTCTTTTTAAATAAAAAGGGAGAGCAGGCTGTGAACAAGGTGGCCCCTTAAAAGTTTTTACAACTCTAATTACCCTGGTCTTATTCTTGAGACCCTAGGAGCTTTCCTAGGACCTCTCCAGAGATTTAAAAATGCTGATGAAGGAATTGTTGAATTGGCATGTAACACTAACCTATGGTTCAAAATAGTTAACTGTGAACTGTTAGATTATAAGGCCAGGACTAATGACACAAAACTCCCTTGAGTTAGGGAAATTATAGTGGTTGGGATCCATTATCTAGGGTCCAAACTTCAAGGCAACCCTCACAGATGAATAGCACTTCTTTCTAGTCCCTCCACCTTCTTAGTTGGCCTTTAACAGAAGGCTTAACCTCTGTTTGAAGGGCCACCACACTGCCCACCTGCAGAGGGGTACTTTCACATTGTAGTCTGTGTGGTTCCCACTGAAGTTACATAGTACACAGCTGTTTGTGACAGCCCTGCTCATACTCACCCTGCTTCTCTACCGAACCCCAGTAAGAGATTCAGATGTACAGAGCAGCATGGAGTAGAGAAATAGAAACAAATGAACATGTTGCCCTGCAGTGGTATAATCATGATGCATGTGGAATACCTTATACTCCTCTGGTCACTAAACATGAAACATCTAAGGAAAAGAACAAAATTTGGCAAGAGCAGCTATAATAGCCAAAGAGATTAGGACATGTCAGGGGTTAGTATTCTTTACCCTGGAAGGGTAAGGCGTGAGGGGCCAAGATTGTAGTCACTGAAATCTTCATGATCAGGGTATCTTATGTTTATATAGGCTGTGAATCCCTTACCCCTTCAAGGATTAAGACTTCACAGAGAAGGAGGAATATAGGTGGGTGGGGATTGTGTGAAAATTGTCCCAGTTACATGAATTTGGAATATTTTGAACTTTCTTCTCTCCCTTCTCCTTTTTTTAAAAAAACCCAGTGTTTTAGCCCTAGCTTTACTGTTTTAGGAAGCTATATGAAATTGAGGAACCTATTCATGTTAAAACTTTGTAATCTCTATCTTTTTTATGTGTGTATTTCTCATCTTCCTTATAGTATGGATACTCAAAAAGCTCGTTATTCACTTTGGCGTTGTGAACTTCCTGGAGAAGCGCTGCTTGGTGTGGTGGCAGGTTATAGAGCACTTCCTGAAGGAGCGGCAGGAAGCCCTGGCACCATGGCCAATTATCGGGATTGGAAAATTCTTGTTGAAAGTTGATAGCAAGGTATTGTATTTTAAGAACTTGAGCTATTTTAATGGGGTTTATGTATTTCATTGTCTAAAATATTCCATTTTATGGTATATTGGTATTTATGTTTTATTTGTGGATAGCACATTTAATGTCTAATTCTATGATGAAATTTAAAGTTTAGAATTATGGTTTATATAAGGATGGGATAGATTTAGTTTCAGTAAGTACTGTGTTAGTATTTTTACATCTTAAAAATGGGAGACAAGGAGCACCTAGTTCAACTCTCTCATTTTATAAGGACCAAATTGAAATCTAGAGGGGTTAAGTGACTTGCCTAAAATTATATAGCCAGGTGGTGGTTCAGTTCAGTGAATATTTTTGGGAAAATTCTCATGTGTCAGATATTATGCTAAGTCTTAGGGAAAATCAGATGAATCCTGGAAAACTAGGTACAGAAGCTGTGTTTGGTGGGGAGATAGCAACCCCTTAAAATTTAGAGGCCGAGTTAGATTCAGAGGCTTAGTGGTTAAGAGCATAGGCTCTGAATTCAAACTCTGGATTCAGATCCCTGTTCTACTTATTAGCTATGTGACCTTGGATGAGTTTCTTAAACTTTCTGTGCCTTGGGTTTCTTACCAATACAATGAGTATAATAGCTGGTATACCTCATAGAATGGTTGTGAGTGTTAAATGAGTTAATATATGTACAATTCTTAGATCAGCATCTGGTACACAGTAAGCTCTATATAAGTGTTAAGCTGTTGTTTTAATTTGGGGAGGAGAAGTGTGTACAGGATACAGTGGTAGTACTGAGCAAGAAATGACTCACTGTCGGAGAGCGGTGGGAGAGGGGAGGTTTTGCAGCAGAGGTGATGACAGAGCAAATTTTGAAGCACAAGCAGGAGTTTATTAGGTAGACATGACAAGAAGAGCAGGTGGATGGAGCAGTGCAAGGGCACAGAGACTCGCATAGCATGAGTTCTTAGCGAACACCAGGAAAATGGCAATGGCTGGGATGTGTGAAATGGTAATTAGTGGGAGGCAAGGCTGGAGGGTCAGGTGAGACTGGATCACGAAGGCCTTTTTATGTGCCATGCTGTGCAACCTGGATGTCATCACAGGGCTAGTGACTGCTTCCTTTAACAGGTCCATCCATGACTTACAGTTGAGAAACACTGTTAGTTGAAACAAATGTAGGTATAGATGAGAACAGTAACTGGAGCTCATGTGAGGGGGGAGGAAGTCAAAGGAGATGCAGGGGATACATTTTCTTACATATTGCCTGATGGTCTTCCAGAAAGTTTGCCAGTTTCAATTCCCACCACTGCAACATGTGAGAATGCCCATTTCCTTGAGCTCTTGCCAACACTGGATGTTATGGTGTAACAAAAAGTCCATTTTAGTTTTGTAAAGAGAAGTATCTCAGTGTTGTTTTAATTTGAAAATTTTAAAGATAAAAATTAGGTTGACCATCCTTTTATTTGCTTATTGGCTGTTTATATTTTTCTTTTGTAACTTGCCTATTGTGTTCTTATTAATTTTTTTCAATTTTTTAAATAAGAAAGAATCTAAAACTTCTCACAAATTTCAACGTATTTATCACATCTCCCTGATTAAGGTGAAGCTTTATCTTATTAGAGCAGACTTATCACTTCAAACTGTTTAAAGAGGGTAACTCTAACTTCAATTAATTTCTTTGTCTTAGTACTATCGGATGGGATAGAAACTGAATCCCCTTCTCAGTGTTCCCATGTACTTGTATTTGGAGCCCTTCATTTAGGAAAACTCTACAGTTGTGTCAGTTGAAGTTCCAGGGGTGTCGAAAAGTATTTATTATGGAGTAGCCTTGTAAAAATTTTTCATTTTTATTCTGATTTATATGTCAATCTGTCCTTCTTAAGGAAGAGAGACAGTAAAATGAATAAAACTAGCATTTTCTGTTATATGTAATACATACCAGAATAAATGGCTCTCTCAAACTGAATATTTAATTATAATTGATGTCAAAATTATGTTCTGTGTAGTATAATAATATATGTGGGCTCCTGCTTTGGGGAATAAATCTATTTTTCTGTTTAATTGCAATTGATTGGACCAGTGTTTTTGAAATGATCCACATACAGGAGATTGTTTTAAGTATGTGTCTAAACATGTATTGGGCGTACTTTAGGGAAAGCTCTGCAAGGAGCGTTTAGTTACTCTGATGAAATTATGCGTCTTAGTTTTTATGCTTTTTATGTCACTAATAATGCCTTAAATCTTATGTTTACTGATTTTTAGATTATGTATCCACTAATCAGCATGAGTTATTATAGTGCTAAATATTGTGAGGTGTAGGTGACATAATGTTGATGTGAAAAAAAGGATATTATATATGGTAGAAAAATGTGTGCCTAAAAAATTGGAAATGGAAGGAAATGCACCAAATCTAATCAGAATCTTAGATATGTCTGCTTTTTCGCCAGGTGTTCACTGTTCCAAATGAGCACTGAAATATTTTACTCTAGGAAATGTGAAATAAGTAGTATTATAAAGCTATAACTACAAAGTTCAATGAAAATGTAGTTTATGAACATAAATTAGTTTATACAGGGACTGAAAACCCTTTTGGTGCATGATATGTGAAAAATCTTAATTATCACTTTGATCTTTGGAATTTGGTGTGAAAGTTCAAGCCTATAAGCATTCAAGTTATTTTTATGTATTTTTAATTATTGAATTGCCAACAAAGCTTGTGGTTATCATCATTTCAATCGTGTATCTTAAAGGACTGCTACATTCACTTGATTTAAAAACTTTGTTAATGCATTACAATTTTTTTTTTCCAGTTTTTCCTTTGTCTGAGATAATTTCCTCCTCATGCTCTCAATGATTTTCTTTTCTTTCCTTTTCATGCTATTACTGTATTCTCTAATGATATGCCCCTGTTGTTATCTTCTCTCTCTCACCGTACCCCCCCCATCCTCAAGCTCTGGCACTGGCTAAATAAGAAGGTAAACAAACACCTGGATTTTGGTTTTTACTATTGAATTCTGTAACTTCCCCCCAAATCTCCATTCTCACCCTGTTTCTGTCCACATGTCAAACTAAGTTTTTGTTTTTAAAGTTCTAATTATAAGCTATGGAAGGTCATGAAGCATTAATATCGTCACAGTACAATTTGCTAAAAACTCAAAGCTATTTATTTAGGATGTGGATGATATCTCCTTGCCCAAGTGTGTGTAAGTTCTGTCTTGTAGTCCTTTTGTTCACTGTGATTTCCATTCCTTTTTAGCTCTATAATGTGACCCAGTCTGATACTCTAATCTCCTTTGTTGTGTGAGAGCACATTAGGCAGAAGTTACTAAAAAGGAAAGAAAACTCGTTATGGCTACTTTTTCTATAAATAACACAGTAATTTTTAAAAAATATAAATTTGTGAAATATTTGTCTGATTCTCTTGGCTGGTAATGTTATATGTTGTCCTTTTTAATAACTAGTATTCCAGAATTTTATTTTTATCTTATAAAGGATTGTAGTCATGGCCTATGATATCTAATTTTATGTATTTCCCAAAGTGTGAGGTATCTGTGGTCAGTGACTCACATGATCAGCATGGAATTTTCAATAACTTCAATAAAGGCTAATGCAGATATATTAGGAGTGCTGTATCTCTGTTATATTGTCCACATACAGTAGTTCTGACTTAATATCATCAGATCCCTAGGGCAGATAGCAAAAGATGACATCATTCATGTGTATTGTCTTTAAACACAATAAGACCTTAAAAATCGTCAGTGAAAATATAGCAGGCCTTAAGAAAGATGTGGTACCTCTTGGAAATAGATCAAAATGTGACTCTTGGGTGTAAAGATTAGGGTTTCATTCTTTCTGTTGAAACAAGAAAGGGGAGACTCTTGACAATGCTTATGCTTTTAAACGTTGGATTGAAAATAAGCAGTGTGTGAAATAAATAAATACAGACACATACCACCACCACTACACACACACAAACACACATACACAAATGGCTATGTATACCTCCACTCTCTAAAAAACTGGTATGAGTAAATGAGTTCAATCCTTGGCAAATGATAGTGCTGCAAATATAAGTTACATTTTCTTACTTTGATTAAAGTAGGTGATTTTATGTATTTCCCCAGTTTGTGTATATGAAATGAAATTGTCCTCTAGAGATGAGAGAAAGGCGATTTAAAGTCATTAGGTTCAGGGACTTCCCTGGCGGTCCAATGGTTGAGACTTTGCCTTTCAATGCAGGGGGTGTGGGTTCGATCCCTGGTTGTGAAGCTAAGATCCCACATGCCTCATGGCCAAAAAACCAAAAGATAAACCAGAAGGAATATTGTAACAAATTCAATAAAGACTTTAGAAAAAAAATAAAGTCATTAGGTTCAATCTGATTTAACCTTTGGTGACTAAATGAGTTAGGTTACCTAGTTCATAGCTGACTAGTTGTGAGTTAGTTTTAAAAGATTCCTAAGAGATCAGGTAACTTTTTCCTTTTCTCTGGTGATTCCATGTAGTGTAGGTAAAGCATTGGTGTAGAGTAGGAGTAACTGGTTTAAGTTCTGAGGAAAGCATGTAAATAAGTTGAGGTCTGTTTTGTTACATTTCATCCAGGGTCAGAAAATTTGCAGCATTGGGTATTGGTATTCCAAGTTCAAGTGGAGTGAATTAGAGAGTAATTCAAGAGAAGTGAGGGTGAGAGACACATCTATGATTAATTGAAATGTAACTGTTTCCTAAGACTTGTTTTATTTCTTAGTATTTATTATTTGTACTAAGACTACTAGAATTTGGTTAAAAAAAAAACAAAGCAAAATAAAAACCTCCAGGTCCAGAATAACGAAATAGAAAACTCAGTAGTGGAATGACACTTCCTTCATTGTTTGATAAATAGGGCCAGTCAGTTTCAGAGTGTCTTTTGGTATAACTATAAATTTACTGACATTGCTACATTAAAAAAAAAAAATGCTTGCCCTTCATTTATACTTGAAACATTAAGAATGTTGTTTTAAAATTACTCCCCTTCCACTTTTAGAAAATAAAGTTTAAAATCTGAAATAATTTCTCTTGGTGTGGAAGGCTGGGAAAGTTACTAGACGACTGTGCAATTTCCACGAGCAGGGCAGGGTTTGACAGGTGGTGTGATTCCCTTTGCCCAAAGCGGACCACAGAACAGGATGAGCCTCATGGGACAGCGCCACTGGCATTTCTTTACGAATTCTCTCCTCCTTCCTCTTCCCCTTCCCCCTTGCTTCCTCTGACCATGTTTCTCTTTCTGTGTCTATCAGTTGCTGTTTCCTTATGAGTCTTGTTCCATTCACTCTTTCAGGGGGTTGTTTTCCTCCATAAGTTTTCTATCCATTTTGTTTCCTCTCAATTGGGCCTTAGTTCTTCACATTTTTAAGGCTTTCCTGTCTCTCTTTCCCACTCTTTGTGCTCTCTTTCGCTTTTGCTGTCTTCTTTTTCGTGTTTTCTCACCTTATATCTTAGCTGGCTGTAATGTGAATAGACCCCCCCCCCCGCCCCAACTTTTTTGCTTATGTATTGAACATCTTAAATGACTTGATTTACAGGCACACCTCAGAGATATTGCGGGTTACATTCCAGACTACCCCAGTAAAGCGAATATTGCAAATAAAGCAAGTCACATGATTTTCTTTGGGTTGCCAGTGCATATAAAATTTGTTTACACTATACTGTAGTCTATTAAGTATGTAGTAGCATTATGTCTAAAAAACTGCAAACTTTAATTAAAAATACTTTATTGCTAAAAAATGCTATCATCTAAGCCTTCAGTGAGTTGTAGTAGTAACATCAAACATCATTGATCACAAATCACCGTGGCAAATACCATAATTAAAGTTTGAAATATTGGGTGAATTACCAAAATGTGATACAGAGACACAAAATAAGCAAATGCTTTTGGAAAAAATGGTGCCAATAGACTTGCTCGATGTAGGGTTGCCTCAAACCTTCACTTTGTAAAAAAAAAAAAACACACATTATCTGCGAAGCACAGTAAATTGGAAATGAGGAAAATAAAACAAGGTCTGCCTGTATTTTAAATTTTAAATGAAACATCTAACCGTCAGTATTATCTCTTGAAAATAAATCTTTATTTAGGTGCCTCTTATTCCAAGCCTTAGGTATAGGCTTGTGATAGGAAAATTCTACCCTGGCTTAAAAACAAAATTTGACTTTTGTAATGTTGTTATACATAACGTGTTTGTGAATATTCCACGTTTTATATGTTAAAAATACCCAGACATAAATTTAGATATTCATACTTTCCAAATAAAATATCTTTTATGTTAACATATTTCAGGATATGACTTTTCTAAAAAAAATTGAGGCTCCTAAGTTATTTTCAGAAATCATAACTTGTGAATACAAATCCGGTCTTAATTCTGAAATTATTTTATTTATCTTGCCTAGTCAAATATGTATTAACTGAGCTTTTACCACATGCCATGCACTGTTAGGTTTTGGAGATAAAAAGAAGAGTAATACAACACTAGCTCTTTCCTCAGGAAACTGTATCAAGAACTAGATGTAGAGTTAGTTTCTGATTGTGAAACTTTTCAGTTTCATTGGTTTTAGAACTTACATTCAAAATATGACCTCTGACCTTCCATATCTTAGAAACCTGTTATTACTTTTTTTAATCTCTGCATTGTCTTTGATGCTTTGGTAGCATGCACTGAAAATTAACTCTTCCGTTTGAAGCTGTAATTGCCAAGATAAAAGATGCACTTTTTATCTTTGAGTTCACTGTAGCATTGATCTCTTAATGACAGTGTACTTCATGAAAGATAAGGAGATGCAAGCTTACAATCACTGAGTGGAAAATAAATGTTTTAGAAGGCATGTTGTTTTAACCACCATTTTTTTGCTCTTGGATGTTTAACTCACTGTTTGGAGAACATAATTCATATTTAAATTAAGAGTAACTTATTCAGCAGTGCTCATGTTGGAGCTGAGGGGTGCAATGTGGTATTTCAGTCGTCAGTCTGATTGTATTTTTGAAATGTTAAATGATAGCTTGGCATGGCAGGAATTCTAGAAATCTATCAGAATTATATAATCTCAAAACAAAAATTTTTATTAACGTAGGATTATTTGTGATTGTGAAAGATGAGAGGAGTTATACTCAAAATAGAACGTCAAGTAGCATTTAGGGAAAGCATAATTTTAATTATTGATTAAGGAATAACCATTACTTTAATGATTATTCTTTATTTACAGTCAATTACAATTTGTCATAAAGCTTATGTTTTAAAAAGAATAGAAATGTCAAGTGGAATATCAGATTTTTAAAAGTATTTTATGATGAAATATTTCAAATATAAAGAAATAAGAAGAGCACCCACATGCCTATCTTCCAGCATGACACAATATTACCTATACAGTTGAAGCCTATTGTGTACCCCTCCCTGCTTGTGCATCCACTTCCCAACCGTTTTGCCCCCAGGGTAACTATTATTCTGAAATTAGTATTTATTATTACCTTAACATTAGATTTTATTCTTACTGCTTTTATAACCCTAGTGACATTAAAGGGAAAAAATAGTTTGAATGTAATTCCCATTTTAATTTGCTCCTATTTTATCTGTATAATTCAGGACATACCTGTACTGTAAGAGTCATACTTTTTCTAAAGTCATCTATATTTGCTAATTGACAGTAAAATTTCATGAGATTTGAGGTCACTAATGGATTGTCATTATTTTGTTTAGAATTTTTATCAGATTGTAAATTATAATTTGAAAGGTAAATATACCACAGTATGAGAATCCAAGCATAGATCCAGTTTATATTCAAACTGACTGCCTTTTCTTAGATATGACAATAATAAACTCTTTCTGTAAACAACAATGGTAATTAATATGGTTACTTAACTTTCTAAAGTGGTTTAAAGCGTTCCCTGCTTTAATCATTATGCCATAGTTTGCTTTGCAATGCTGAATATCTTGTCTTCATGATGTTTGAATGCATATGTGTTTTTATTAAGTTGTGCATGAAAGAGAACTAATTCTCTTTTTCGTTTCTGTGCAGATGATCATCTGGCTGGAGAAGATGTTAGACAAAATAATTAGCATTTTCATCATATTTCTGTTAGTGATAGGAACCCTTCTTTTAGCCCTACTCCTGACTGCAAAGGTAGAGTACAACAATACTGTTATCATTAATAAACTCTTAATTGTTAGAATTTGTCATGTAGGTAAGAAGCTAGCAGATGCAGGCATGGGAAATATTACTTTGCTTATAAGTATGTATAACAGTTAAAGTATTTATGATTTTTGTATTACTAGTTTTGCTATGAATTTGCCTAATATATTTTTTAATGTGCATTTTTATTTATTTCATAAAAATCCTCTGAGGTAAATGCAGATGAAAAATTAAGATACTGAGGAAAAAGTGGCTTCTTCTGTCAGTAGGAGAACTACGATCTGATCTCATGACTTCTAGTGTAGATCCTGTTTCCTAGATCAGAATTCAATTCCTTTCCTTCATGTCTCATTGGTTTTTCTGCTGATTTACCATTAGGATATTTCTCGCTTTCCAGATCCTTCCAGCTTGCATTTCCTCTCCCCCTTCTTAGTTTGCATTGCTGTAACAGAAAACCATAGACTGAGTGCCTTAAACAACTGACATTTCTCACAGTTCTGGAGGCTGGAAGTCCCAAATGAAGGTGCCAGCATGGTCAAGTTCTTGGTAACGGTCCTCTTCCTGGTTTATACATGGCTGTTTTCTCCTTGTGTCCTCACATGGTGGGGAGAAAGAACATGTGTCTCTCCTTATAAGGGCACTAATCCCATCATGAGAGCTCCACCCTCATGACCTAATTACTTCCCAAAGGCCCTACCTCACATTGCTTGTTAGAATTTCAACATATATGAATTTCGGGAGGATACAAAAATTTAGTCCATATCACCCCTCTTTCATCAAAGAAAATCATTCTCCAAAGTGCAGCTAAAATTTTCTCTGTAGTGATGTATCTTATGGACTATTTAAAAAACTTTTATAATCTATTTAAATCTTTATATTAACTCTACTCAACTCTGCATCCCAGATTTTTATATGTTTTCCAGGAATTGTGAACCTTACATGAAATCATGGATATGAAAAATTTTCCTGTAGTGCTGTAGAGATATGGTAGTACCTGTTATCAGTAGATAATCTAATACGCAGCAATTTACTAAAGGATTACACTGTTTCCTGCTATTAGACTTTCTACTTGCAAGTCCTATTTCTCAGTCATTCTTAGCTTCAGTATTCCCTGATCTTATCAACCTGCTCTCTCTGTACCTGTTTCAGTTTCAATGCAGTTTTTATCTGTTCTTTGGATTTTAATCATGTATAGTCACTTATTTAGACTCTACAGCCTTGTTTAGAGACCCTTCTTTGTTTTTGTCATATTTCACCTAAACCTGCCACTGCACGAGTTCCTAGTTCTTAGAGAAATCTTTCACCAGTATGGTCTTCCGTTTTCCTTTTTTCTCTTTTTCCTCTCTCTTCTTCTGTTCCACTCTCCCTTCTTCATCCCTTTGAGTAGGGTCTTCTTGCCTGCCCATCTCAATTGTTCATCTTTCAAGTTCTTTTTCTTTGTTCATCCCATGCTTCAGTGAGCTTTTGCTTCCCTGAACTTTCATAACAAGTATTACTGAACCACTTCATTGTGGTCTAGGACTCATGCAAACTGAGCTTTTGAAGGAAATTTACTGGTTATCTTGTTCATTCTCCCAACCAATAAAAGGATAGTTCTCTAAAACACCACGACAGTATCCATTTGAATGTCTAATAGACATCTCAGATGTAACATGTCAAAACTGAATTCCAGACCTCCCTTGCTTGTCTGTTCTCTCACAGTCTTCCCATTTTGGTAAGTGACAGCTTCATTCTGTTTGCTCAGGTGAAAAGCCTCAGGGTCATTCTTGACTACTTTTTTTCTCTTATATCCACATCCAGTCTGTCAGAAAATCCTTTTTGCCTCCATTTTCCTGATACATCTTGGGGTAATAGCAGGGTGAGGATGTCAGGTAATTCCTTTCTACCTAAAGCAAGAATAAAATGGTATAAAAATGACTATAAACACCATATCAGGGAATTGGAAAATGACCAGTTAGGCAATAATTTGAGGAGTATTTGCTCATGAAAAACTGCTACCACATCTGGTAAAAACACGTAGTTTGTGGCTTTCTTGCTTGGAGTTCCCTATCCTCATCTGCCTGGCGTGAGCAGCAAAAACCTGCAGTTTTTCTTATGGGAGGTGGTGGATTTGGTTTGGGGCTGGCAACAGAGAAGCTGTGAATTAAAGGGGGAGATTCTGGAAGCAAGAGAGCCATAGAAGGGCTGAGATTAATAAATCACACATTCTAGACTGGTATATATGAGACCTCAAGGAGTCCTGTGAGTATTGAAAACCTGGGAGATTTGCAAATTTGTTGTGCCTTTGATTGTATTTCTCAACTCTCACACATCTCAGGCTGCAGAGGATGAAGCTCCCTAGTGTGAAGTGTCTGAGCATAACTTCTGCCAAAATTATTTGCTGTCTGTTAAGCTATTCAGATCTAGGGGAAACCCTTAGGCTTTTCAAAAAATAAAAGACATTGAGCAGAGACATTAATGACAGGGAAGACAGACTTTGCAGTTTGATTACAGATAAGTTATTTGCTTACTGAAACAAAATAACAGCTTTCAGAGGTAAAGAACAGAATCCAGAGTTGCTACAACACATTTTTTAAAAAATGTGTTTCATTTATTTATTTGACTGCACCATGTCTTAGTTGCAGCAGGCGCGCTTCTTAGTTGTGGCATGTGGGCTCCTTAGTTGCGGCAGGTGAACTCCTTCGTTGTGGCCAGTGGGCTCCTTAGTTGTGGCATGTGAACTCTTAGTTGTGGCATGCATGTGAGATCTAGTTCCCTGACCAGGGATTGAACCTGGGTCCCCTGCATTGGGACCACGGAGTCTTAACCACTGCACCACCAGGGAAGTCCCTACAACTCATTTTTTTACATCCAATTTTTAACCAAAAATTACTAGACATACAAAGAAACAGAAAAATGTGACTCAAGGGGAAAAAAACCCAAAGAATTAGACACTTAAGTGGTCCACATGTTGGATTTAGCAGACAAAGAATTCAAAGCTGCTATTGTAAATATGTTGAAAGAATTAAAGGAAAGTATGCTAATAATGAGTAAGCAAATGCAGACTCAACAGAGAAATGGAGACTATAAAACAGAACCAAATAGAAATCCTAGACTGAACTGAAACTGAAAAGCACAATAACAAATGAAAAATCACTAGATAAGCTCAACAGCAGATTTGCAATCCAGAAAAAGGAAACTAGTGAATTTGAAGAAAGATCAGTAGAAGCATGCAATCTGAAGAACAAAAATTTAAAAAATATTGGAGCCTCAGAGATCTGTGGGACAATATCAACGTTTCTGTTAGAACCTAACAGACATGTAATTGGAGTCTGAGAAAGTGAGAAGAAAAAAAAAGTTGAAAAATACTTGAAGAAATAATGGTCAAAAACTTCCCAAGTTTCATGAAAAGCATTAACAGATCCAAGAAGCCTGACAAACCTTGAGTAGAATAAATACACAGAAACAAAAAAATCACACCTAGAAACATCACTAGTCAAGCTACTAAAAGCCAAACAGAGAGAGAAAGAATCTTGAAGGAAGCCAGAGAAAAATTACACATCACACACTGGAGAACAACAAAACAGTGAGTTAATTCTCATAATAAACAGTGAATCCGAGGAGGCATTGGAATGACATGTTCAAAGTCTTGGGGAAAAAAGAAGTGGTCAACTAAGGATTTTATAATCAGTGAAACTATTCTTTAAAAGTAAAGGCAAGATAAAAACGTTTCTAGATAAAGTGAAACTGAGAATTTGTTAATAAAGAGACCTGCACTATAAGAAATGCTAAAGGAGTTCCCTCAGACTGAAGAGAAATTACTCTAGAAATAACTCTATCCAAAGGGAGAAATGAAGAGCACTTGGTAAATATATAAGTATATATAAAAGTTATATTCTTCCCTCTCCTTCAGTTTGTTTGGACAACATGTGCCTATTTAAAGAAAAATTATAACACTGTATTGTAGAGTTTATAGTATATGTAGATAAGTTACGTATGTATAACCGTAGCATGAAGAAGAGGACTGGGAAATGGAACTAAACTGGTATGAAGTTCCTATAGATATTTTACTGGAAGTAAGTCAATACTAACTTGAAATAACTTGTGATAAATTAAAGGTATGATAAGGTTAAGATAAACAGCAACTACTAAATAATGCAAATTTTAGGGGAAATAAAATAGTATACTAAAAAAATAATTGCTTACCACAAAAGAAGGCAATGAAAGAGGAATAGTAGAGATGGGACAGATAGTAGATAGCAAAATGGCAGATCTGTATCCAGTCATATCAGTGCGTATGTTAAATATGAGGCAACTAAACAAAAGGCAGATTTTCAGACTGGATACGAAAAAGCAAGTTCCAACTAAATGGTATCTATAAGTGGTATACTTTAAATTCAGAACCAAAAAGATTGATAGTAAAAGGATGAAAAAATATATACGAAGCAAACTGTAAACATAAGAGATGTGGAGTGATTATATTAATATCAGACAATGTAGTTAAAACAAATATTACTGGAGACAAATGAGGACTTTTCATAATGATAAGTTAATACTGCAGTAAGATAAAAAAATTACAAATGTGTGTTCTAACACTAGAGCTCTAAAATACATGAAGCAGGGACTTCCCTTGTGGTCCAGTGGGTAAGACTTTGTGCTTCCATTGCAGGGGGCCCAGGTTCAAACCCTGGTCAAGGAACTAGATCCCGCATGCATGCCGTAACTAAGAGTTCGCATGCTGCAACTAAGAAGTCCGCATACCTCAAAAGATCCCACGTGCTGCAACAAAGACCTGGTGCAGCAAAAAAAAAAAAAAAAAAAACTTAAAAAATAAGATACAATGAAGCAAAATGTTCAGAATTAAAAGGAAAAATAGGTAAATCAATGATTATAGTTGGGGATTCATTAATACTCTTCTTGGAATAGTTGACAGAATAAGTAGATATAAAATTTGTAAGGATATAAAACATTGAAAAACATTGTCAAGCAGTTTGACCTAATTGACAAGAGCA